GAAAGAGAGCTAAGCTCCCTTGTAAATTAACAAAGTATATACACAATCTCATATTTTCACTCGCTTCGTCTCTCTCTATCAATTTATCTTTCATGGTATCAGAGACTAGGTTAAGAACTAGTCATTCCTGCTTCACCGACGCGGGCGGCAGCTCACCTTGGCTGCCCGCCGGACCTCTACACTACCTTCACTCCGCTGCCACATTCTTGCTGCCATGGACCATCACTCTCACCTTGAGGCCACATTTATTGCTGTCGTGAACCATCACTACTTTCTTGCTGCAGCTTTGTTACAAACATAGATCTTACCCATGTCGTCGAGCACCCCGTCGGCCCACGCGACAGCCACTGACGCCAGTGATCTGGCCAATGCCGACCACGCCACCTGTCACCACTGCCTACAGACGCCGTGACACAGGTTCCTGCTAGCTCACACCGACGTAGCCGCCGCCGATGAGCTCGCTGCTGGAGTGGCGCCGAGGACCAGTTTTTCCATGAAGTTGATCATCTCTTCGTAACACTGGCGTGCTCGGCGAGTTTAGCCATGTGCACGTACTGTTCTCTCGTTAAGCTGTCGTACTCACATGGTCGCCATATACTAGAAAGAGAGAATGGAGTGTGTTGTGTGTTACCCAGATCAATGCCCTCTTCAACAGATTCTTTCTTTTAAAGCACCACACCCAGCTTTTCCTTTTTTTTTTTATCACCACCAAACCCCACTCAACTTTCATTTATTTAATATATATATATTTATTTATTATAATATATTACCCAACCCTCTCATTTCCCTCTCTCTTCTCTCTCACTATGCAGAGATCCAGCAACACCAATCAGCCCGTTTTCCTATGGGGAGATATTATTTTTGAGACTCAAATGTCCACTTTATCACCATACTCAACAACAGCAGACTCCATACTCACAGTTCCCCACTTTTCTGCTTCAATCACATTGTTCCCCACTCTCCAACCTTTAAAAAAAAATACAAATAAAAAAAAAAAAAAAAAAACAAACCAAAAAACAAGTAGATGGTGCCTTCTTTACAATAGACCACTCACTATGTCAATCTTTGCACAACCCATACCCACTCATACCTTAAGGAACCAGCAGTCTGATCTCACTACCCCCAGTTTTATTTATTTTATTTTCTCTTCCTTTTTTTTTCATTCAAAAAATACTAGCAATTTTTTTTTTTTTTTTTTCTTTTTTTTTTTTTTTTATTCAAAAAAAAAAAAAAAAAAACCATCATCCCTTTTCTCTCGAAATTTCATTATTTTAACACTTAGTTGGTAAGCCTTTTCAGGTTCCTGTTCCCACTACCTTTATTTTTATTTTATTTTTTCTATGTTTCTTTTTCCATCAATATTTTATTATTATACAACTCCATTGGTGACAATCAACCCTTTTTCCATTTTCTTATTATTTTTTATATTCTACCTCCACAAAAAAAAAAAAAAAAAAACTCTTTCTAGCATTTTTTTTTTTTATAACATCTCTACTCTGTGTTGAGCCGTTCCGCTCCACTTTATCCATCCATTTGTTTCAACCTCAAATAGGTTTCTATCTTCAAACCTATTTGAGTTTGGGGGGGGTATTATACATACTTCATGGTGAGCATGGTTACACACCATGCGAACCACCAAAGCTGGTGAGTATGGTTATACACCATGGGAACCACCCTAGCCATCCCATGGCGCACTCCCTAAGTCGCCTCCTTGGTGCACCACCAAAAGCTTCTACAACGGTCCGGCATGACCCCATAAACTGTCCCGACATTGATTCCGGTCAGCTTCTACATCGGTCCAGCATGACCCCGTAAACTGTCCCGACATTAATTCCGGTCAGCTTCTACAACGGTCCGGCATGACCCCGTAAACTGTCTCGACATTGATTCCGGTTAGCTGCTACAACGGTCCGACACGACCATACAATGTCTTCACCAACGGTCTGATTCGACCATACAATGTTTCTTATCTTATTTTATTTTATGTATTAGTTTATTTTCTTATTTTATTACTCTTTCCAAACTCAAGTTGGTTTGTGCCTATCCTCCTTAAGTTTGAGGGGGGCTGTTAGTGTTAATTTAGTGTAGTGATAATTTAGTGTATTATTCATAGCAACCAACTGTCCTCCCATTATGTACAGTCACGACCTATTAGCCTAGACATTTGTTAGTGTACACCACTTTAACTTTATGCTTTCGGTGCCTCGCATCCAATGTACATCACAGGCTATAAGAAGAGAGCTAAGCTCCCTTTGTAAATTAACAAAGTATATACACATCTCATTTATTCACTTGCTCTCTCTCTCTATCAATTTATCTTTCACATACCAAGATTTGAAGTTTTAAACAATCTTTTTCTACCTTTACCTGTTGAATAAGCAATAATATATATATCTATATATATATATTCTGAAAAGGGAATTCTAGACATGAAAACGAAACAGCGATTAGCGTTTGCTCGCAGTTACTAATGGATTTCGATTGATTTTCTTTTCTTTAGCTACTCTGATGTTTTAATTCGCTAATTTGACTATTCTTTCTCCCCTTTGTACAAAGCTTCTCTTTAGTTACTTTGATATTTTAATTCACTAAACTTGACTATTCTTTCTCCATCGTATAAAGACGTGGCAATAGCTTTTGGAGAGGAATAAATCCTTCTTTGCACAACTGTTGAAGAGAAGGATATATTTAGATTTAAATTTGTTAAGTGATTTGTGAAAGAAAAAGAAAATGAAAAAAATAAAGTGAGAAAATAAAAAGATAAACTTCTGATTTATTCACTTTTCCCACCTCTTTCCTTTTTCTTTTATTTCCTAAATCATTATCCCTAACATGACAGACAAAAATATGATTTTACAATTCAAACGACCTAAAGCATATAACCAGACACCCATCTTCTTCACTCATATCAAAATAATGAGTAACAAAAATGAGTGTTTAGTTGTACAGTTTAAATTATTTAAATTTTAAAATAACCACTTTGCCCATCAGACTAGACTCTAAGGGTAACTGATTTAGACAATTATCCCCAAACCTTAATATCTTTAGAAAATCACACAAGTTACATGTGCATATTATGGATGTGATTTACTAGCATGAAGATCTATGCTCTCTGTAACTTTGCAGGTAATGCACTTCTGAGCTTCTTATTGAACACTGCTCGAATAGCTGCTCCGACCAATGGCCAAGTTGATACGATGGCAATATAACCGAGCAACCACATAGATGTTCTATTTTGTCGAGAAAGGTGGTTTAAGCATCTTCTAATCGGATTAGTTATATCGAAAGAGAGGCCATCCTTGATTCCTCCGGCAGCTTGTTTGGATGTCTGGCCCGTGTTGGCCGTGTGACTGGGCTTTGCTTCACAATCTCTTATCTCCATCATCTCCTTTGTTGTTGTGTTCCTAAGTTGAGATTATTGAAGAATCTAAGCCTCTCACATTTCTTCTAGAGAATTCGAAGTTGTTCTTCAAGGATCTTTGAGGATCTTCGAATTTTCCAACTCTTTTCTTGAACCCTCTCCTACAAATACTAATCCTCTCACCCACAACAATAACAAGAACAAACACAGATCTGGTGGTTCCAGCGAGAGAACGGTGATTTTTCGCATCAGCTTGATTACTTGCAAATTTGGAACATCGGGGATGCTTCACAATGTTGAAGTCCTTGGCATAACAAACACCATCTGCACAAATTGAATATCAGCAGCAAATACATAAACAGACCAATACATATATATATAGATATATAGAGTGAGAGAGGAAGTTTGGAAGAGATATTTGCAGATCTCTCTATAGTTTTTTTCCAGGGTTTTTGCGTCAGATGGTGAACCAGAGCGGGAGAATGAGGAGGAAGAGAGAGTAAAGAGAAAGAGAGAGAGAGAGAGGATTGTGGAGTTTAAGCAGGGTGAACATTCGAAGAGTTGCAAATCCCCCTTTTGAAACTTCCAAAAATGAACAATGGATTCCTAGAAATATTCACTCCCTCATTTCTGCCTTGTAATTTCTTTGCATTCTGTTCTCACTCAGTCTTGTTTTTCATTGACTCCATTCACGATTTTGCTTCCAAAACAACCAAACCAAACCAATCATACATTTCTTGATTTATTTATTTATAAGCTAATAACTTGAATTCTGTTTCCCCTGCCTCAAGGTCTGTGTTCCGTACAATCACTGCAAAATGCAAACTTCGATCTAGGTCTGTGCATATCCACTACCAGAGAAGAAGAGAAAGAAGGAAGAGAACCGGCTTCCGACGGAGGAGAAAGAGAAGGAGGATATACAGTAACTATGAAAGAACTCAATCACAGAACTTACAGCAGAATCAGGTTGTAATAGTTTCTCAATAATATTCAGGTTTCTTTCTCGAATCCTGATTTGAGTTTAGTACTTTCCATATACGGTGGCTATATGTTATCATATTTACAAGGAAAACAGCAAAAAGAGCATTCTTTTGCATGTCTTGTCCAAGCACAATCGGCATTCATACCAAGATTTGGAGTTTTAAACAATCTTTTTCTGCCTCTACCTGTTGAATAAGCAATAAAAAATAAAAATAAATAAAAATAAATAAATTCTGAAAAGGGAATTCTAGACATGAAAACAAAACAGCAATTAGTGTTTGCTCGCAGTTACTAATGGATTTCGATTGATTTTCTTTTCTTTAGCTACTCTGATGCTTTAATTCGCTAATTTGACTATTCTTTCTCCTTTGTATAAAGCTTTTCTTTAGTTACTTCGATATTTTAATTCACTAACTTTACTATTCTTTCTCCTTCGTATAAAGACGTGGCAATAGCTTTTGGAGAGGAATTAATCCTTCTTTGCGCAACTGTTGAAGAGAAGGATGTATTTAGATTTAAATTTGTTAAGTGATTTGTGAAAGAAAAAGAAAATGAAAAAAATAAAGTGAGAAAATAAAAAGATAAACTTCTGATTTATTCACTTTTCCCACCTCTTTCCTTTTTCTTTTATTTCCTAAATCATTATCCCTAACATGACAGACAAAAATATGATTTTACAATTCAAACGACCTAAAGCATATAACCAGACACCCATCTTCTTCACTCATATCAAAATAATGAGTAACAAAAATGAGTGTTTAGTTGTACAGTTTAAATTATTTAAATTTTAAAATAACCACTTTGCCCATCAGACTAGACTCTAAGGGTAACTGATTTAGACAATTATCCCCAAACCTTAATATCTTTAGAAAATCACACAAGTTACATGTGCATATTATGGATGTGATTTACTAGCATGAAGATCTATGCTCTCTGTAACTTTGCAGGTAATGCACTTCTGAGCTTCTTATTGAACACTGCTCGAATAGCTGCTCCGACCAATGGCCAAGTTGATACGATGGCAATATAACCGAGCAACCACATAGATGTTCTATTTTGTCGAGAAAGGTGGTTTAAGCATCTTCTAATCGGATTAGTTATATCGAAAGAGAGGCCATCCTTGATTCCTCCGGCAGCTTGTTTGGATGTCTGGCCCGTGTTGGCCGTGTGACTGGGCTTTGCTTCAGTAATGAGTTCGCCTTGTTTTGAATCTAAAACCGCTTCATCAGTCTCTTGATCAGGACTCCTCTGCACTTCTTGTAAGTCTTCTACCACATCATTTGTCACTAGATCATTGCCCATTGCGGCCACCATTCCGTCTGTAATGTTAAGATATGGCCCCTGATCGATTGAAGATTCAAATGAAGAATGCGGTTCGGGATTTTGTGTCTGCAAAAATAAACACAAACATAAAAACAAGTTCAATTGACCTATAAATTATATGAAATTGAATATTAACAAAAATAAAAAATGTCCTTGCTGCTTCTAAAGATCATAAGGTTTGGCAAATTGGCAGAGCATTAAGGACTACTACCAACTGCCCTAGTTTGGTTTCGTTTTCAGAATTTATTTTTAAAAAAACACTAAAAACTAATTAGCTGAAAAAATAATAAAAAATTATAAAGTGCTCATCATTTTTGTATTATTTTCTTCTTTTGTGCAAAATATAGTTTTTGAAAAGTCAAAAACATATTTTTAGTAAATTAGTTTTTAGTGTTTTTTAGAAAACAAATTTTGAAAATGAAAACGATCCTTTCCAACTAGTGTTTTCCCATTAGTTAGACAAAACAATAAATATTGGAGTGAATAAAACTGCCAAAATTGTCATATACTAAAGCTGGTTACATAGTAAACTGAGTAGTGAATACGAATTGCACCTTATTTTGTATATGCATATACGAACTACAATGGAGGATGCTGAGGAATTCAAAAGTTGCCCCTACCCACCTGCAAGGAGAAGAACAAATGAAAGCTTGTATCAGTCTCTCTATAAGGTCTACCACATTGTAACTAGCTGCAAGGGATGACATAGGTATAGATGGGAGAAACACTTGAATGTGTCAAGAATTAAAGAAACAAAAAATTGATTTTGGCCAATGTTGCAACCCAATCATAATCCAAGGGGCCACCGAGTTTCTGCCTGGTTTCAATAAAGAATACAGACCCAGTTTCAACCCCAGTAATCCCAGTTGGGTATTAAAAAATACTTCAGTGATGCAAACTAGATTACACATTAATTAAAAATGCAGAGTAGGACTCATGTTGCCAACGCAAGAACGTATGTGAGACGGAAATATTTGCAGTTTCGCAAATTGTCATGGATGTTCCATGCAAGACTAAGGAGCACTGACACACCAAAATGCGTGTCGTGTCTGTGTCAGACACAAATAGGACACCGTCTCTCTAGGGACAAGTATGTCCACGAGCCGGACACATCACATGATGTGTCAATTTTTTTAATTATTATTTTTTTGCACGATACTTTGGGGACACTTCACAAACACGTGTGTCCAAACACAGGATTTGTGAGTCTCTTTTTATAATTTTAGAAAAATGATTTGGGGTCAAAGTAAAATATATGAAAACAAAGAGGGAGGAAAGGCAAAAAAGATTAAAAAAAATACACCCGCATATACACTGATACCTCTTGTATCTCTTTACCCTATATTTATATCATATACATAGAAAAGAAATATATATAAAAAATATTTTTTTGTCGCATCCCTGCCAAGTCCGTATCCTAATTTTTTCAAAATCGCTATGTCACGTATTCGTACCAGGGTCGCTTCTTAGCTTGCAAATATTAGGAAATATATAAATATCATTAGATTAATTTAATGGGCTTTTAAAGACATAAATACAATTTCATCCAGTCGACATATGGCTCGTAATGTCCTAAAACATGGAAATGTAAAGTACCAGAGACTAGTAGCTGTTAATCCTTCGAAAAATGCCAGATGTCCACCGTGCTTTGTTGTAGCCAGGACAATATTTTTATTTGCTCTATAAAGGAAGAAAAATATTAGCTTAGGTAAACATTGGCAGCGAAAATAGGATTGTTAAAAAGGAAGTATCTGTTCAGTGACATAAGAGAAGCATCACCACCTGCACTCATCCCAAGGAATGGCCTCCTTGGTACAAACTGGGTCATCCAAAGCACTGATACAGAGTAGCGGCACTGACACATGTCCCACAAAACTAGAGCTGCTGCAACGTCTGTAGTATGTATCCACAGTCTTGATGAAACAAAATGCTATTGTCAATAACTAAAAGAGAAAAGGTATTGAGATAGATAGAGAGAGAGGGATCAGATACAATGACCTCAAACTTTCCAACAAGGCATGTGGCATAGTTGTCAAAATCTCGAATAGAACGTGACTATGCAAGCACAAGAAATAACCAAAAGAACGACATTAGTTGAAAGGAAGCATAATGAAAGAGTATTTATAGTTTTAATGCAAAGGCAGATGTGAGAGATTTTATTTTTCTTTTTAATCTTTTTTCTTTCACAACATTATGTGAACTACTAAAATAATATCAAACCATGAAAAGCCAACATAATGGCAGAAGAAATGTATCTTAAAATGTGAAATGATAGTGAACATAGCATGAGGCAACGAAACAAGACAGAAGGAGGGGCTTCATTGAAGTGAGGGGAATGCTAAGGATATTTTTTTTAAAAAGAAAAGCATAGAAAAAACTTCAATATGATTTATTTCTAGAGAGGAACAAAACCTTTTTAATGCCGTCCCAATCAGCTAGGCGAGTATATTGAGGTTGATGTCTGCAATAGACATTTAGATACTGTCACGATAATCCAAGAAATAACATAAATAAAAAATCAGTTGGTAATTCGTAACACATACAAGTGAAAAGCAAAAATATAGTCTGTTTTAGTTTCAAAGAGTCAAGTGAACATAACCAGAATTCAAGTTCAAAGCCTCAACTAAGAACGTAATGAAGACATACAATTGTGCGTAACCTTGAAGACCAATGGTAAGAGCTCTGTCATATAACTTCTGTATAAGCCTGCGAGATATGAACCTGTCACCGATCTGGGAGGGAGAGGAAAGACGATATAAATTCTATTTAGGTAACAAGTGATAAGAACTAATACCAAATGCACGATTATAATTATTTTAAAGTTGTTCTTAGGGAAGGAATATCTCTTCAATGTTAAGTAAACTAAGCTACCCGTAAATATTTTGAGTAAACTAGTAACGAAATTCCAGTTTTGTTGTCCCACTCTTGAAATAACACACAAAATTTTACCAAGCATAATGCAAAAAATTTAGTCAAGAGTACCATGGGAAATTTAAAGCAATTATGAAATAGAAATCAAGAAAGCAGACGAAAATGTATAACATACAAAATATATACACATCATGCATCGATCACTACATGATATATCAGAGAAATCATTCTTGTTAAAAGTCGAGTGATATTAGTGAGAGTGGCAGCCTTCTTGACTAGGTTTCAGGAAAAGTTTTAATTGTGGAAAAAGAAGATAATGAACAAATGACTATGGACATTCATTCATGTGTTAAATCATGTCTACCCCTATTATTCGAGGGAGTTGTGAAACAAAAATATAAATATTCATATATACATATATATATAGCTCCAATACTGTAAGATAAACTGATGTATATTATTGATTGATGTATATTGCAAGATTGTTGTGTTTCTGTATTGTATGTGATTTTTTTGTTATGTTTACAATGATCAAATATATAGAAGAGAAGAAGGTAGTAGGTGAAGTGGTAGGGGATGAAGTGGAGGTGGTAGTGGTAGGTTAGGTGAGGAGTTGAGTGTGTGTGGTAGGTAGAAGTGGGTTAGGTTTAGTGGGTTTAACAGCCCCCCTCAAACTCAAGGAGGGAAAGCATCAACCAAGTTGAGTTTGGAAACAAGATCATTAAAGCGGCCAGGAGGATGAGCCTTAGTGAAGATATCAAACAAAGCACATATCAAGTTGTTGACATTTACATTCAAATATAATTAAGAATTGGTACACTAATTACAATATAGAAAACAATAGTATCTAGATAACAGAATCTATAATGACATACTGCAAAATATGTTCAAAAGCATTGTAAGAAACATATTATTATACACAAAAGCTGCAAAGCAATTGTTATTCATCAAAACGAAGCATGGCTAGTAAAATTGCTTTACACCATCAATAGTAAGTTTCCCCTTCCATACTGTGTGAGTGATTTTCGATCACACTGCCCAACTCAGTATTCAGCTGGAGAGCACTGGCAGAATAGATGACACATGGCTAACCTGCAACAGAAAGAGAAGGTTCCGGCGGTGGTTCGTCCACCTGGGGGCACTCCAACGATCAAGTCAGTATATCTCTCAAAGTTAATCAATAGTGCTAAATTCACTATTCAGAGCATAAATTGCGTACCTTAGACCCACGGGGGTGCCTCTCTTTTATAGCTAACTCAATCCTTGTCCCAATAGAAGCCTAGCTCTAATGGATTTAGGATTACTGCTAATCTTGGACTCCCAGTAAGATTAGGATAAACCCTCTAAAAGTCTTATCTTTACCCAAACTGAAGTCTTCTCTCATTCTAGGACTTCTTGTGCCTTATCCGCTTATCTCGGATTCCGATATCTTCGGAGGTAACCTCGGCCTCGCTGAGATAACCTCGGCGTCATGACCAGGACACGTGGCACCTCGGCTGAAACGTCGGCGTCACCTTAGCCACGTGTTTGTACTCAGAAAATATATCCCCACAACTGCCCCCTAGGTTCTATTACCTTAGCATTCTGAGGTGATGGAACCTATATCATTCCTTCCTGCCAGTACATCGGCCTAGCCGAGATCATCATCATAGGTCGATATGTCTTTTTCAGAGATCAAGAATTCCAAGAGCTTCTTCACGCGTATCAGCTGTTATGTATAACAACTCAACCGTTTAGCCACGTGTTTTCTCCTTACTGGATCGTACTCTGGACGCGCTTATAAGTCGTTTCGCGCCTACATGCGCCGTCTAACGCATTTGCTATTTCAGGCGCATTAATTGCCCTCTTTTGCCGCCGTTTCAAGTTTTTGACAAAACTTGTTTCCCCCTTTCATTTTTTTTCACTTTAAATTGCCTTTATTCAGAACTCTTTCTCTCTCTAGCTTCCTCTAATCCTCCATTTTTCCAAGCTCTAAAGCTCTGCAACTTGCTCCATCCATTTCTTCCGTCGAAGTTCTTGCCAATCTGTTCCGCTGCCGCTGTTCTTCTGACTTCGGCGATCTCAAGCATCAGTTTCTTTTTTTTGGTAAGTCACCACTCCTCTTGTTTTTTAGTTCTTGTTGTGTTCCATGAAATTCTGTTTTATCATTTAGTCGCCATTGCTGTTTTACTCGAATATTTGATTTGCGAATCATGTATCTGAACATGTTTATTTCATAATTTTGCTCTTTGTCCACGTCTTGAGCACTCGCACTGTTCACATGCCTGTTGCTTTCTGCCACTGTTCTTGGCCTGATATATTTGTGCAATCTTTTTGTTTTGATTTCTTGATGTCTTCATCACCATTCTTGTTTCTGAAACGGATCCCTGTTTTTCTGTTTTCTAGATTCGTTCCTTCAATCTTCATCTCCATAGCTTTAGGTTTGGGACTTGTTTGTAGAACCCACAATTCTTAGGAAAAACTGAAACGAATTCCTTCTAAATCCATACAAACCCTTATCATAGCATATTTGTAGATTTTTAGCCGAAGTCCTTTAAACCCTCCAAAAATACTTCTTCCTGAAATCCAATATCTCCATTTTAAGCCGACGTCATGGGTACGTGGGAACATAGGGTAAACACCCTGGAAAAATTAGGGTACTTTAGGCAGGAGTTCGAAATCTCGGCCGACGTTCATCTGAGGTTGGCTGGGGAGGATGACTCTATCATGCCCGATGAAAACCCCATGCCTTTCCTAGTGGTTGCGTTTATTGAGTGTGGACTTAGGTTTCCACTTGACCATTTTTTCTGTTAAATCCTTCATTTCTATAAGTTGAACCCAATGCAACTTGCCATCAACTCTTATCGAGTTATTAACGGTATCATAGCTTTAGCCAAACAAGAGAGTGCTAGGATAACTCTTGCCGATTTCTAGTACTGTTATACCATGTGTCGCTTGAAATCGAAAAAAAGGTCATATTTATTACCTTAAGCCGAGGTCCACTGAATACAAAATCATTGCCGACCTCCCTGATTCCAACAAGGGAGCGGGGGATGATTACTTCATCGTCTCGGGAAACTGGGAGTTTCAGCCAAACGATGACCTCCATCTTATCCCTTAAGTCGTACAGTTTTCGGAGAAGGAGTTGGTAAGGGCCACCCTTTACACATTTTTCTTGCTTTCTTGTATAAAATTTTCAACATTTTGTTCTAATGTCTATGCTTTTTTCTGTTTTGCAGTTCTTCCTCAGCAACCAAAGGGCTTCCGTCAATCTTTTTTTCCCAGCAAAGATTTAAAGAAACTATTGAATTTACCAGTTCACAAGCGGAAGGCCCCTCTGCTTCTCAACTTTATCCCCACTTATAAGTCAGCTCTTCCTGACGTCCCAAAAGAGAAGAAAAAAAGCCTTTCTCCACCATCTGCCACAACTCTACAAGCCGCGTCCACATCTCAGACAGACCAAGGATCAACCTCTGATCCAGCTGAGCAACCTTCAACCTCAGCACCATACCTGATTCCACCATCTCAACGAAAACGTCGTCGACGACTTGTTCTTGCTGCGGAGATGGACCGCCAAAAATCGGTTGCTAAAGATCTCTTAGCCAGCATTCCCTCTGACATTGACGCTCAACCAACACGAACCCAGCCTCCTTCAAAGACAAAACAAATAAAAAAGGCTCAGCCAAAGGCAAGGGTGCCTCAGATCTATTCTGAGGATACCTTGCCAATTTCCAAACGGGCTCCGAGTGAGAAAACTGCCTTTGTCCCTGCGAAGAGGTCCGCTGAAACACTTCCATCCGAATCTACCAAATCCAAAAGGCCGAGGTCATCTTTTGCAACGACCTCGGGGTCTAAAAAGCCTAATGCCCCCTGGGCCCCCGCAATCACTCTGGAAGATAAGCCTGTCATGGCCAACGATAGCGCTGAGGACATTAACGTTGGCGTAGCCCTCAGTACTGCTCTGTTTCTTCCCGACGATCTTGACCGAAACGCCGAGTTGAGCGAGTATGAAAATTACGCTCTGATGCTTCAACATTCCGTTCAAGTAAGTATCTTTATCTGGCAACTTCTTTTTTCGTTTTGTTCTTTCCATACTTGTAATTTTTTCTAACAACTTTTGTTCTGTTTACTTTCAAGCCATCCAGCACGCCCATTCTTTCTCAGTTCAATCTTTTGAGAACCGTGAGAAGCTAGCTGAAAAGAAGAGGGAGGTCTCCAGCCTTCAAAAAACCAATAAAAACTTACAATCCAAGATGAAGACCCTGGAGGACCAGGCCGAGGTTGCTATTAGAGCAAAAGACGAAGCTGAGGAGAAGGTTGGTGCTGCTGAGGCGATAAACAAAGTCCTTCAAGCCCAACTGAGGGAGGCCGAGAATAAATTGGCCTAGGCCCAAAAAGAGCTTCAAGACGCCTTGGCCACCAAAGAGGCCGAAATCAAGGACACCGGCGAGAAGGCGTATGCCCAGGGCATGGCCGATGTCACGGAGGCCTATGAAAAGCAAGTTAAGCAAGCATGCAACAAGGGTTTCTCCCTTGGTTGGATGACTTTGCTGAAGAAACTTGATGTCCCTGAGGACTCCTCCTTGAGGAACGTCGATGCCATTTCCCTGCCATTCCCTCCAACTCCACCTCTCAGTCAATCTGACAACGAATCTGATTCTGAGGATGAGGCCGAGGAGGAAGTTTTGGTGAGGAAATCAAAAGAACCTACTGGGACCAAGTCCATTTCTCCGAATGAGCAAGTCCTGGACTTGACTCAAGATAAGGAGGGTGAAGAGGTCCCAAAAGATGCTGCGGCTGAGAAGACATCGGCCGTCGTTCCCTTTGCCGTCAAGAGCTTGGATGAAACTCTTGCAGAAATTGACGCCGAGCTCGCGGCGGA